ATTTCATAATTGTTAAGAACATGTTGTGTAATAAGCAAACAGTGAAACTATTTCATAATTGCATAACGACAGTGAAACCATTTCATTATTGTTAAGAACATATTGTGTAATAAGCAAACAGTGAAACCATTTCATAATTAGATTAAAACGGATCCATCTACCGAAAACATGGAAATGACAAATGTCTCATCTAATAGGCAAACAGTGAAACCATTTTATAATAAGGTTGAAACGGATCCATCTTTTGAGAAAATGAAAATGACAGATGGCTCCTCTAGAAAGACGTTTATTTGTGTATCGTAAAAAATACGGTGAAATCATTTCATTCATTAAATGTAATAGTTAAAAATATTGTTTCCTTATTCAAAATGGGGTTGATTAAGGAAACTAATGATTATACCCGATTTATTGATATAGACGGTTTTACAATTTTGCCCTTTTTCCAATTAAAAAATAATTTTTTTTCTATTTTTTATTTTTAACTTCCTAATATAAACTAAACTAATCTTGACTATTGATCAAGAAAATGGATGGATGAGATTGGTTTATATGGTTTATACAAATGAGAACGGTTTTCATTTGCTCGCTCCTCTATACATATATATATTGATTAGAAATCCACGAACCACTCAAAGACACCACATATCCYTCTACAAGATGAATATTCATCATGAATATGAAGTCTTATTCGGCATGGATCACACATTTATAATGAATATAAACACGTTATTCATCATCAATCACACATTCATGATGAATAACATGTTTATATTCCTGATGAATATGTCATGTGTTACGCTATTGGTGGTTCCCATGTTCCAATTTTAGGTTTCTAACGGAACCTGACCCTACATATAATATTATATTTGATATACCTATTTGACGCCATAAGTCACGTTTTGAAAAACAACGTGGCCTCGCCATGGTTTATAAGGCTTCAGGCTTGACCTCGTCGTCACATAATTAGAAACCTTGCTATTACATGGTAATGCTTATCAAGTAATAGACAATGATACAATGTTATTTTTAAATTAATGACAGACAATCTTACTCAATACGATAAATAATGTGGTAACTCTTATCTACTAAGCGTTTATCCAATTTGTGTGTTGGTAAATGCCCCTTACTTTTCTTTGTCTCGTAAATATAATCTTCAATTGTTTTCTCCTTATTCTCGAACGAGTCGAAATAAGGCCAATAACTCTCTATAACTTGYGAGATTGAAAATAACTCCGTCATATGTCGAGCTTACAATGTATTAYAGGAAAAGATATATGAGACATTCTCAATGTATCATAGCTCACCTTCTTTATGCACTTCAATGTATCATAGCTTACAATATGGGATCTACSGGCACTTGTTCGACTCCCTCTCAAACGTCAAGAGGACGTCTTAAATCGTAGCTAGGGGTGTTAACGAGAAAATGTTATACCAATTGCTTATGACYAAGTGCAAGACATCAAATTAAAAGAAAAAAGAAAAAAATGAAGTGTTAAGAAAGCTCCTGTCATGAATGGTGCACCTCAAGACGTCATAGCGTACTCCATCCATGCCTTAGACAACTGCCGCAGTGGTTAACGTGGCGCCTGTGACTTGCCTCACCCCAACCCCATATTGGCGTACTCYAGCCATCCTAATTGAGTTGTAAAATTTTCAAACTGTATGTATTAGGTTACTTTTATTTGAACCCAACACGATAAACCAATACCATTTTATTTCTTGAATTTAATATGATTATTGARTCTCTATTAATATCTACATTAGACAATCATATCATCAAGTGCCTTCTTCATATACATATATTTTAAATATATTTTCCATCTCTATATAACTATTTCMTTTGTATATATGTTCAGTAACTATGAACATATATGTTAATATGCAAATWRAGAAAATTAATCAAATGTTATATATTTAAGATTTAAGAAGTATAGATAAACTCTACTAAATGGTTGATGATGAGAAATAAATTATATATATACTAGAGAAAACACCATATTCAAGACTAGGAGGATATTTTGATGTTCCAAATTATCAATCCGACCAAACCGTACCTTTGGGTCAGGTTGGGTTGCATTTTAATTTGGGTTGAGTTGAGATTTTCCAAACCGCAAACATTGGTTTGAATTATTCAAATGTCTTCAACCTGATCAACCCAACCCAACCCAACCAAACCAAATCCAAGAACAACCTAATACAAACCCAAACCGTCCTTTTCACACGCTTTGAAATCGATTTGAATACCAAAACAAATTTGGCTATAAAGAACTCTTGACGAGTGCATAAGATGACAATATACCAATTTTGGTATTAAAAAACACCCAATTTGATCCAAGGGAAATGCAAAAAAGTTATAAAACGGCGTCAATTTTGTTAAAATTTATAATATCATTTGGCGTAGCAAATTCTGATTTTGTTGTGTTATAACAAGAAAAAGAAATATGAAAAAAAAACAAGATATTTGATTTGTTTTTAACTTATCATCATCTATGTAAAATGTCACTTGTCAAAAACCGTCTTACAAATATCTTGTAATGATCGTTGATGATGAGAATAAATCCAAACAGGAATCTGACTAAAAGACCATTAAAATATGTTGTATAACAAGAATGCGAAAAGGCATACCGATAAAAGCATATAACTTCGTAGCGTGCAAAAATTAACCTCCGTACACATTTGGAAACCAAATTGTTGTGTATTCAGACGTGAATTCCAAAGATAAAACCATGGCAGAAAGCACAGAATACGAAAAAGAGATGTATTYTTTTTAATTCAACATGGATAGTTTAGTAATTTATCAATCTTATCTCATTTCATCTTTTTTTTCCAACTACACAGGTGTACTCTTGTCCCACCCAGTCTTATGTTTGTTCCAATTTCTGCSATTTAATTTTCGGCATCAGTCATTTATTTTTCAGTTTTTACATMCTTCGCAAGAAGAAACCGRGYTATGATGGKCTAAACGCCTTAGTTTCAGTCTAATGTGACACCAAACGTAGGACAAGTATCCCACGAAAAGTAGAACCAAATTGCACAATAATTCGAAATCAGTTGYAAGATAAGTATGACAAAATCTTAAAAGAGCAACATTTTAGAATAGAGGCAAAACTATACTAAAAACCAGTATTTGACAACAGACAGATGCTGCAAAAGGTATTGCAGTAGAAAAACGAATAAATTTCCAAAATGCAAAGCTGTACCTCAACGTTTGGAGAATTGTGGGGCTTTTCGGGCTTTCTTGAGACCAACTTTCTTCCTTTCGACCACTCTTGCATCTCGAGTAAGAAGACCTTCCTTCCTAAGGGGCTTCCTGTGGTCTTCGCTCACTTTTAGCAATGCACGAGCGATACCAAGAGAGATGGCTTGAGCCTGCCCAGAAAGACCACCTCCATGTGCCTTCACAAACACATCGTAGCTAGTCTCGTATCCTAATGTTGCTAAAGGGACTTTAATATACTGAAGCCACAATGGATTGCCTTGAAGATATTCCTGTACAACATTAAACATGTTGACAATGTCTTAATCACAAATTTACGGGTTTTCTTTAACTTTGRCTAGGAAATCAGCTAGAGGGTCAAACTAATTCAAGTTTCACTCAAACTCAATATTCAAAACAAACACCCAATTTCAAACAATTACCCAATTTCAAACTTGACTAATTTTGAGACGCTAATATCTAAGCGGCAGATAGAGGGGCAGCAGTAGACAAAGGGAGGTGGGAATCAATCAGGGGGATCAATGGAGCAGGCAAGCAGCAGAATTCAAATGAGTAACAAGTATCGGGCATAGATCAACATTTTTTAAGGAAACCTCAGAGGGAGCCCATACCCACCCTGGTTACATCGTAGCTCCGCCCCTTGAGCTGACCCTCAAGGTTGATTGTTATTTATGCTGAGGAGTTCATAACTGTCTATGGCATGAAAACCGTTACAAGATTTAACACGCTACAGTTTATAAGTTAAAATTCAACTTATTACAACTTTAAACATACTTCAAGCTACCATAAGTTTCCATTGTCCATTAAAAGGAAAACATTTCCAGACGCCAACCTCGGTTTTAAGGAAAAGAGAAACCCTAAAATGTCTTCCATTAACAAYGTGTACTTCTATATCATCAGCAAACTCAAACAATGCTTTAAGCAATATAACGGTTTTCTTTACAATGTCGTCAAGTAGGTTATAGAACAAACCATAGAAAGAGTTCCATTATCAATTTTGATGACTGTTGTCATCAAGTACTTCCTCCTATCCATGAAAATCACAACTTTTTTTTTACCAAAGGGCCTTTGGCCTAGCGGTATGCAAGTCTTTGATCTCCTAGGAGGTTAGGGGTTCAAGCCTCACCAAAGGTGAGGAGGGTGTGTGAGTTTATTTGTTCTATTTGCCGTGAATAAATATTATATACTTAAAAAAAAATCACAACTTTTGGTTTGAGACATGGTTCTTAAAAATTGTTTGGTTGTGTGTCAAAACCTACAGTAAGTGTGAGATCTGACATCGGTTGGGGAAAGAAGCGAAGGTTGCCTACCTTCTCTATCAGTAGCGTTTTAAGACCGTGAGTCCAGGGGTGGATAAAACGGACAATATCTATTACGGTTGGCCAGGAGCAAATAATAAGCTTCAATGAAAGACGAAATAAAAGGWTCTTGACCAATTTGCAGATACCAACAATTCTGTTACCATGATAATGTAGCCTATATACAAAACTTTCCATAACAAGAAAATGTTGCAATTTTCATGATCATACAAAAAGAAGTGCTTCCATTTCGACAGGAAGGAGAAAATACTACGTTGGCCATTTAAAAACAATATAGAGTTTGATGCAGTTGCAAAATCTTCTCTAAGCTTTTGATTCAGTACCAATTATGAGGTTAAGAAGTAACCTAGTCAGACAGAAAGATTCTTCTAAATGAATTCAGAAAATCGGAAGCCTAAAGGAAGTAATCAGTAGAGTGAGCACAATTCTACAAAGCAACGCAGTCCAACCATGAACAACACACTACACAACAGGAACCAATATATATCATAAAGAGTTCCAAAACAAATATGGATAAGAAGAAGGAATCATAAGGAACCACCTTCGCATCACGATAATTGATTATGAATTTTCCAGTCCCTTCCTGAATGACAACCCTGGCAATGGCACACTTCCGGCGACCGGTGCCGATAAGAGTCTGGGCAGCGAAGCCACCGGGGAGCCTCGATTTAACGTACTTCTCCAAATCCACAGTAAGAGGCTCATCTAGGGCAGTCGCAACAATGGTAAGAGAAGGGGACTTGATTTTGGAAAATTGAAGTGATTTKGACGAGTGAGGGAGTGAAAGGGAGTAGGGTTTTTGAGAGGAAAAAGATAGAGAGGAGAAGGATGAGGAGAGCGTGGAGATGGACATCGCCATTTTCGCACTGGTTTTAGGGGAAGAAGATTTGGTTGAAGATGAGTTTGTGAGGGTGGAAGGCGCAATAAAGGATAATGTAATTTTATTTCTCCAAAATCACCCTTCCTTTGCTTTATGCTCCAAAAATTATTTATGTAATTTCATTTTCAATTATTTTTACGATGCAAAATCAAGAATTGGAAGAACCAAACATAATCCATGAGTAAATTTGATCTGATTTTTTTACACAAAATAAATAATGATATATATATATAGATATATAGATATGGGTGTGAAAGTTCAAAAACTCTTGAACATTTAAATCAAATGTGATAATATACGTGAGGTAACCTAAGGTAGGTCTGGGCGGTGTTGATGAGAGAACCGGTAGTGGCGATGGAGTGAGTAGGAGGTCGAGGGTGTCGGTATTGTYGATTGCGAGCAGGTCAAGGTTTGAAGTGACCATTGACAACAACGTTAGGATTTAGAGTATGTGAGACGATATTAATCGTGATTGCTTTTTGTGTGATGGCTTCTGATAAAACTCAAGGATGGAATGATAAATACAAGGAGTACAGGTATAGCTCGATTCCATCTCTAACTAGCTTCAATTCAAACATATTGGTAAGGGGAAATTGGAGGTCAACTTTTAGTCAAAATCAGTTGATTATCTTTGGAATCCTAGACAAACTTCAAAGGAATTACAAAATTAGTTCAAACTAGAGCTTTGCAATGGTGTTGATTTCGATATAAGGGATTTTGTTCTGGTTGTTGCAGACTTTTGAACTTTGTTTCATCCCTGCAGATGCCAATTTGATTTTTGTGTTTTACGATGTGGGGTTCGTATGATTTTCACGCTTGGAATGGAGCATCTGAAGAGGCTTAAAAACCCATTTAACTAGGGAAGGGAAGGATAGTTTGAGTGTGGTATTCACGTTTGGCAGCAAAATGTGTTTAAGAACCTTTTAGCCTTGAATTTYAGGTAATATYTGTTCGTTTTCATTWTGTGTTTTAATTGGATCATGAACTTTGATATTGTGATTCTAGATAAACTTCATTTGATCAAATCATCAGTGAACCTATGAGGAAGAATGTGAATCTATGGGCAGCGGCAAAAAGTCTTTTTGAATTTAAGGTAATTTCTAATTTTTCCAATCTTGTGTTTTTAATTAAATCATGAACAATGTATTATGATTTCAGAACAATGATGAGTTGGGTTTTATTTTGTTTTTGCTAGTGAATTAACAACTYTTTAGTGTACTCACAAACTTAATTTCATTAAACTATTGGTGAATCTTTTARGAAGAATGTGTGTTTGTGTTTTGGATGAGGTTACAGGACTGAAGATGTATCTACAAAGATAAAACCTTCTTTGAGAAGCCGTTTGTAGGTAATCCTGTACAAGTATGAATTTCTAATCTTTCGGTTTTTTCTTGTCATATTGCAAGAATTTCATTCACTTTCTAACCATGTGACCATTTGGATTGATTTTGCATATGAAACATATAAATATGATGGTATTTTTTTTTTAACCACATTGGTAGTGCCTGATTGATTTGAGCTTGGCTCCAAAGGTCAAAAGTACCAGGAGGTTCTAGGTTCAAATCCAAGGAGGAATAAAAATCTCCTTGTGGCCACAGAGGTTCAAATGTGGTGACTCCGGGCTATTTGCAAAGCAGGTGGTCGTCCTGGGATTAGTCGGCTCGCATAGCGGATTGGATATCCAGGTTAATATATATATATGATGGTATTTTTGGCTTCAAATTAAACAAGGAGGACCTGCCTTATAGACATTAAGATTTTATAGATAAACCGGAAAAAAGAGTCCATAATCCAAGTGAAATGCTTATAGAAACAAATTAAAAAGAAAAAGAACAGAAGCAGAAACAGAAAACTCTCTAAACAAACAAAATAAACCAAATAATTTGGATGCAAGTGGTTGAATTGATCAGTTTAAGTTGTTCCGATTGACATTCCACAATATARTTTCAACGGTCTTTTAAGGCTTGCTTTATTCACAACCTAAACTTAAGATGGAACCTTCACATTTGCTCTTCAGTTGAGTTTTACTTAACTTAAATAAAAAGATTCAAACGATGAGATTTTTATACTGAAAAACTTAATYGTGGGAAAGGTTCTTGCTGATCTCTTAAAAAACTTCACTGGTTCGTGTTTTTTTTTAATCTTTTCTACAACTATTTCTTTATTAGAAGCTAAGAATATATGTTGTCTCAGTTGTATTTATTGTTTTAAAAAAAATTTCCCTAATTAGACTCTAGAACTTTATGCTTATCTCCGAGTAGGGATAGAAAATGATCAAAAAGGTAAGTGGAAGCTTGGTGACATCCACCGACTAAAATGTCCATCATTAACACGTTTGGCCAAATTAACATGTTTGACAAAAGTTACTCAACATTATTTGTAGAAGTAGCAATGTACCTAGAGACCATAACTATCAACTTCCATTGTTCATTGTAACATCTTGCATAATAGGGAATTACCTTACCAATAAGTAACCATCAATAGCTTAGTCTAAACTTAATATTTCTAATAGGGGCAGAATGCTAAAAAAAAAAATTGGTTTTGGAGGTCAAGAATGCCAAGGGGGGTTTTAAAAAAAGAAGATCCAGCAAGATAGGCTTGGTTGATCTTGATTTTGTGTTATTAGTGGGGTTTAATAACACAAACAAAAAGATCCATGAAGCAAGTCCAAAGAAGCTMAAGATTATAAAAGGTATCCATTACATAGTAAACAAACAATTTTGTATTAGAAAAATGTCTTAGTTTCTCAGACAATAATAAGCAGTGTAGTAGCATTTTCTCTATCAATARTGATCTTTAACCAACAATTTCTGCTCCAACTATGACATGTGTAGTAGCTTCTTTGGTTTATATGACATGTGGGAATCRCAATAATGCATTTGCRGTTCATTGTTTTCTTYAAGATTTGGATGTGTAAAGTACACGTAGACCCATCAAAATCATTCTGACATGCTCGTTCATTCCTTTGGTTACGCTGATTAGTTTGATTCACATGTAAGCTTCTTTCTTAATTGATTTGGTTCAAGTTACATGTATAAATGTGTGTACATTGTAATGCTTCTTTGTTGAGTTTATGCTAAGCTGGGATTAAACATTCTACTTATGGAAGAATGGTATATATCTTGCAAATGATACGGAAATATAGAATACTAAGAGGTCGTTTACTAAAAAACTTACTTGTTAAGCGCTTACTAAGTCATTTTTACCTTACCAGATGAACATGACAAGGGCCTARAATCTTACCCTGTAAGAACAATGATAAAGATAGAGAGTCTTACCCAGTAAGTAAGGGTGATGACGCTTACTGGGTAAATTGTTTCATACGATATCGTTTTGATGGATTACGTTATTATCTGAGAAAATAAGTTAGAATGTTGACTCTTACTGATAAGCACTTACCGAGAAAATGTTTTGGTAAACAGCTCCTAAGTTCRAAGTCAAGATTGAGAGTAATGATATTTGTTCATTGTCTTTCCTTCACATGTTTATAACATATAGGCAAATTTGTATTGCAATTTGCTTGATAGTTTTTGCAATTTTGTAGTGAAGTACTAGTTCTAAGAAACAGAAAGATGGAGGATAGTTTGAACCACATGCTCATGACATAGAGCAGTTAACGTTTGCTTGTAATCACATAAGGCTCTTAAGTGTCTGAGAAAATAACGCAATTACAGATAAGATTGCGAATTTCTAAAATTCCAAAAGTACAAATTTTAGGTGTTACATTGGATTAGTTCTCAAATTTCAAAATTTGAGAAAACTAGATCTCAGGTCTAAATACATCACAATACGATTGGTTTAGTAGTTTTGGTTTATCAATTATCATCAACTATTCAACATCCAATGATTGATACCACCGTATCACTAGAAGTAATCTGTTCATCGAGCTCTAAAAGTAGAGCATGAATCGAAATGCTAGACAACAACCAGGTAAATCCCATTCTTTTTTCGTTTCTCGCTAGTGTCTGAAGGAAGTTAAAATTTTCAAATTAAAAAAACKCAACTCCTAATTTTAAATAATAAAYTGATCAAAGATTGTGATAAGAACATCGGTTTCAATTTTCATCCATACAAGACTTTTTAGAATGTTATTTTTTAAGGTTTAAGTTTACATACTGTTTCATATTGTTAATTAATTGTTCAAATTGTTTAGGTTCATAGTGTTAATTGTCTCGGTTTAGGTTCAAACTGGCAATTTTTAATGTTTAGTTCACTTGTTCAAGTTGTTAATTGTTCAAATTATGTACAAACTACRGATTCTTTAGGTTCAAATTCTTACTATATGTATATGCACTATCTCTTGCAGTGTAATCAAAAGCTTTGGGTCTTGGTGTAACCAAGCATCACTAGCTATTGTATGCAACAGTAGTATTGTCATCCTCACTTGGGTTGCTTTGTTCCTTATCRTTCTTTTTACTTATTTCAATTTCAACATGTCTTCTAGGGTTAGAAGCCATGACTTTGGATGTCAAAAACGTAAAAAAAAAAAAAGGAAGTGAATAGATGATACAGTCTCAAAACATATCTCTTGATGAATTTGTCATAAAAGAATCACAAACTTCTCTTGGCGATCAACATATTAATGTTAATTCGGATTATACTTATGTTGATGCTTCTAGTGAAAATCGTAATTTGATGAATTTAGTTGACACTCTAAATGACTCCAATGAGAATGATCATGAAGAATATATTAAGATTTTGTTACGTAGAATGTTAAAGGAATGATTCTATTTAAGTAAAATTATGTGTTACTTTGTCTTTTTTTAGTTTTTTGTTGTTTTTATTTGTAAGAGTTTCAATAATATGTATAAGTTGGAGGCCGAATAATTTAGATAAATATGAGTATGATCGTATAATAGTTATACTAGTGTCAGTGATCAAAGAAGTATAAAGTATATAAAATGTATTCTTTCATATGTGATTACTAGACCTATCAAATCAACAGATTTAGATGGCGTTTGTTTTTTAAGAGGTATTGAAGTCTGAAGTCTGAATTCACTTCTGATTTTTAAGAGGTGGTGCTGAAGTCTGAAATCTGAATCAATTAGATTGTTTGTTTTTACGTCTGAAATCTGAATCAGTCAGACTGTTTGTTTTTACGTCTGAAGTCTGAAATCTGAATCAATAAGATTGTTTGTTTTTTTAAACTGACAAACTTATGAAGTCTGAAATCTGAATCAATTCATTTCAATTAAATTTAACTGAAATATCCAATCATTTAAACCATTAAGCAGAGGCGATGACTGGTTAAACCCATAAATAACATCATTGCATTCCTTCTACCTCTCTTGTAAGTTCAACAAAATCACACGACAAACATAGAGGCGATGACTGGTGCATAAATTAAACCCATAAATCAAAGAAGATGCAGAAATCAAACCCATTTAACAAGATACCTGTTTATTCTTCAATAAAATCAAACTCATTTAACAGAATACCTTAAATCAAGAAATCAAAGAAGACGCAGATCGAGAGTTTGAGAGATGGATACCTTAAATCGAGAGCTTGGTAGACAAATCGAGAGCTTGAGAGATGAGAGATCGAGAGTTGATATGGATCGAAAGTTGAGAGATGAGAGATCGAGACAGAAGAGTCAATCTAGAGAAGTCGAGCGCAAAGAGATGTAGGCAACAATATGAAATAAGAGGTAATAAGAGGCTTCTTAATCACTAAAATTTTCAAACCTAATAAGAGCTTTTAAGCTTTTAATTGAAAAATAAAAACAAACACACTGAATCCTCTTATGTCTGACCGATTTAGACTTAAGAGGACATTAAGAGGTTTTTTATTAAAAACAAACAGCCCCCAAAATTTTTACCATCTTAGCCCAAACCTACTTAGGATATCTCCAACCCAACACTAAAAACACAAAAATGGAGGTGTTCTTGTAACTCCCGTAATTTTACCATGAGAAATGTTACGTAATTTAAAACAGATTCTCCAAAAACACTCCAAAATGATGGCTAAATTAAAACTTTAAACCATTCACAGCGGAAGACTTTAAAATAATAAATATATAACTTAATGTCAGCTCGTCCGATATTGAGTTGCTTTACAAATTTTATCTATCATAAATTATGCAATTGAACTTAAATAGACTAGACAAGTCTCTATGTATGCGCTTTTTCCTTTGTTCAACCTAAAACCTTATGTCCCTAAGATGCATACTATAGTCAGCTTATAAAGCTTAGTGAGTTCATGGTTTGCTTGAACAAAAATCATTTCACATCATACAACCCTGAAAGAAAAGAGATCTCATAAATTGTCTGTCGGGTATGAGTCATTTAGTCACCGACATTCCCTAAGTTGTCTGACCTGGACCTATCTAGACACTCATTATGGAGTCGTGCCACTTGTCGTGTGACTTACTGGTCAAATGTTCACCCGTTAAAACTAATCATAAAACTTTCATATGAAATAACATGCTAGAGTTATTTGAAAAAAAACACATAGCATGCAACTGGTCATAAAAATAACATACATGTCAAATATATCATGTATGTAAACTAAAACATCATGCATACATACACATCACCATATAAATTATATAATGTTCAAAAAATAAATTTGTACGTAGGTATGCATCCCATAATAAGTCTCATTAAGACTCACCTAATTGCAAGTACATTGACTATTGATAGCTCTTGATCAAATACCTACACATTTCATACCATAATATCTCATTAATGACACAAATTTTCCAAAAGTCAATTATGGTCAATCCGACCCGACTTAAAGTCAAACTCCATATCCAAACATCCTAATATGCCTCAAATAATTTCATTGACTCCATTATTAAAATCCACATGGGTCAAACATGTTAAAAGTCATCTCTTGGTCAACTCGGTCAACCCCGTCTAACTTTAGTCAAACCCAAGTCTAAAACTCGCTGACATCCTAAAACATAAAAAAACCATTATGTAAACTTATAAGTCCATCTCTCCAAATTAAAGCGCCCCAATAAATATTCAACTCAAATACGACGCTTTAATCTCATGATTAAATCATCAAAGTAATTTAATAATTTATTATAAACTTTTCTTCTTAGAAAATAAATAAATAATTAATATTAATATTAATATTCTAGAATAATTAATATATCAATTAAATAATAATTTAAATTAATATATTAATTAATTTAGAA